CTTATTTAGAAATCTAGAACAGGGAATGTGACTTGGTGGCACAGGAGATCAGGAGATAACTTACATAACTTCTTGATTTGAGTAAGAGGGATGGTGTAACAGCAGGCTTTGGCAGTGATGTGCAAGTGAAGAGAGAAGCTTCACAACTAATGCAACAGAGATGGCAGAGCCAGGGCAGTAACACAAAGCAGAAATCAACAAGTCAAAGCAAGAGACTAATATAAACAACCTACTCTGCAACTTTCTCAACGGCTGTGAAATCTCAGCTGTTTAGCTGTCAAGGACAGAAAAAGGGACTACACTGTAATTCAGATCAGTATGATCAACCTGGATTAGACTGTAAATTGCATGACCAGGTAGAAAAAACAGAGAGAGAGATATGCTATAGAAGAACGAAGATTGAGACAGAGCCAACATAAGAGGTTTTAAGAACATCCAAGTCAAAGCTGTTGACTAAACACAATCTCTTGACAAAAAACCCCAGGACAACAGAAGCAGAAACCATGAGGCTTATAGAGCTGGGGGTGCTCAATTGCATTGAGGCTAGAGCAACAGCTCGATCTTGAGGTGTAAGAAATGCAGACTAAGTTTTTTGGCAAAAGGCCACTCCTATTCTCACCCTTATGCAAAAAGCACATCAGAAACGAAAACCTTTTAACACAATTGGTAGTGCAAGTACCCAGGCAACTATTATAGAGAAGACAAGTGGGATTTTTGGAAGGAATTAGCTGTCCATCCATGAAACAATGGTTAGATGGAACAGAAACACAGATTAGCAAAGCACACAAAACCCCACTTTGAAAACCCACCAACATGCTCTAGCTCATGCTTTCCATGTTGTCACCTGACATCTTGAAATGCTCCAAGGTTCAGCAGGAGGAAAAGGTAGGAGAGCATTTATCTTCAGAATGCAGCAGATCAACTTTTTTTCAGAAGATACATCTAAAGCACTGTCATGCAAGTAATAATGAATCTCAACAATGGGCATCAGCACAGCACGCCAGAATTTTGTAAGCACAGAACAAAACATAAGAGAACCACTCCATTGATTCTGCTTTCCATAAGCTTTCATTCTATTTTGATAGACACATACCCTTGAATATCCTCACGGACATTTTAAAAGCTGTAATTTCAACTCTGAGGTTTTGCAAACTTTGTTCGGCGTGGTATATGATATCACCAACATCCTGAATGTAATTAAAACTGCAATTTTGTGGGCTGTATTTTCTCTCTTGGTAGCCCAAAGCTGATATTTACAAAAACTTTTCTGCACACTTATTTGATTTGAACTTTTTATTATTATTACAAATGTATATTATTTTATTAAAAAAATTCACACTGAAGCAAAGTCAATTCCATTTCATTACAACCAAGAATATAAAATAAATGCAATGAACTCATAGCTTAGTTTTAACAGTCATTTCAAGAGTGACATCAGGACAACTTAAAAGCAGTAAACTCTCAACTCTAGAATGAGAAACAAGTATTTTGCTTTGTGGTTTTGCTAGCCCGCTGGCATGGGCACTGCTGAATGTGGTCACCACAGATCCAGAGTGGCAAAGTTTTGTGGCAGCATGAGGCGCATACACAATAATTTCCAATGGAAACTACAAAAATGAAAGATGTGTGCATGAAATTATTAGAAAAAAAAACTGAATAGAGACAGGCACACTTCCACAAATAGTAAACATGGGAATATACAACTAGAACAATTTGAAAAGTTACTACCTTACATATATAAAAAGTTCTTTAAATTGCTGTTAAAAAGGACATGTTCTGTCCAGATTTTGTGTAATACTTTTTAGTGTCTACACAAGACAAATTTTTAAAAAAATTAAATAGCATTAATTTACTACTAAATATTTAGGAGATAACAGTGCATTAAGGACTTTTTTCATATAGTAATACACATCGCTTCTGTCTGGCGACATTTTTAGAAGATTACGTATGGCCTTATGTACAATACATTTATTTAATCCTAAAACAATTCTTTGCTTAATGGTGTTAAAGTACCATTCCTGAAGATTATGAAGGGGAACTAAGCTTATTATGTTTATATAAAATATTATACATATTTGAACACTTCTAGCTTCCCACCACCCCTCCCGCTACGAATGCTCTTCCCTCCCCCTCCCCAGATACAGTGTCACAGATACAGTGCAGGACTCGCAGCTTTCCCTATATTTCTCCTTCATTGTGCAGTTTGTGCTACATAAACTTCACCAACACGGACCAGGCTGCTCATCCTATTCATTCCCCACATGTTTGTTTCCTCTGAGCCACGATGGGAAAAGCTGTACCCAGCAGCCTGCTCTCCCACCAGGATGGAGAAGACAGCTCTGCCCGTGTCACCTGCATCTCTCGGCACAGGTGTGAAACACTTTGGTGAGGGTCTAAGGGTTATGGGCAGAGATAGAGCTATGAGTAATAATGAAACTGCACAGGCAAAAAATAACAAAAATGACATGGTCCTGGTTTCCCATGACAAACTGCACGATTCACTTTTGAAAGCGGAACATTTTTACCTCACAGGATGACCCCTAAACAGCAACGCTTCTTCCACCATGACAGCCACTGACCTCGGCAGCATGCATCAAGCTCCCAAGAAAAAGAGAATTATTTCACCACTAGGAAGGAACTACAAGAGTGTGCAGAGCCTATGTTTTGCAGCCAGCTCTTTCGCTTTTATTCACTCTCCTCCCAGTCGTGAGTTTGAAGGAACGGAGGAAGTCAGCTCGGCTTCATGTGTGCACACAAAAGCTAGAGACAGGAGCGGCATGTGGTCATCTACCAGACCCAACCAAGGCAGAAACACCAGTGCAGCTTAGAGAGAGGTCGTGGCAGTCACTTTAGAAGCTGGAAGCTCACTCAATTAAAGCACCTTACATTTCACACTCTACATACAGATTAATCTACACCATGATTTTGCCTTATTGGCACAAGAGCCCCCCTTAATTAACCATATGGTTCCCTGCCACTTCCTGATCTTGTATGAATTTTGACGACCAGCTGCAGGTCACAGTAGGGAACAGAAATGTTACATTACTGTAGTAGAAAAGACAAAATAATTTTGAGGTAAGAGAAAGATGAAAAAAACAGAAGGGGACAAAAAGATTAATTTCCAGAAACGTGACATTCAAGTCAAATGTTAATTTATGGCATTGGCCAAATATCTATTAGCTCAAAAGTACCTCATATTAACATCAGTAAGAGGTGAGACAGAAAGCAAGCAACCCCTCAGGCTCAGTGAAATGAAGGAACAATTAAAATCTGTTCTTACAAACAGGCTACTAGGGCATGTATAAAATGGAGCATTTCAAGGGTTACACATGGAAAATATCCTTTGGGAGATTAATTTTCCCCAGAAACAAGGTTTTCCTTTCAATTGCTTCATTTCATTTTTCACCACCTTCTTACCCATTTGATGACAAAAGCAGGTTTTAGTTGCTTTTCCAGAGCAGCTGGGTGTTGTCAAAACCACATGATGGTAGGTATAGCCAAAACAAGCCAACTGCTCACAAAAGGCATGAAAAGAGCACGAGTTTGAGGAGGAAGGGGGCAGTAAAGGTGATTGGGAGATGAAACCCAGTAGAAACTTGTATGTGACTAGCTGTGATGAAAAGCATTCTCCTCAGAGCAAACAGATTTACTCACAGAATCACAGAATATGCCAAATTGGAAGGGACCCACATGGGTCATCAAGTCCAACTCTTAGCCTTGCACAGGACTATCCCCAAGAGTCACACCATGTGCCTGACAGTATTGTTCAAACACTTCTTGAACTGTCAGACTTGGTGCTGTGACCTCTTCCTTGCAGAGCCTGTTCCAGTGCCCAACCACCCTCTGGGTGAAGAACCTTCTTCTAATAGCCAACCTAAACCTCCCTGACACAACAATAGGCCATTCCCTCGGGTCCTGTCACTGGTCACCACAGGGAAGAGATCAGTGCCTGACCCTCTTCTTGCTACATCTGATCACAACTTCAGTGTGAATGTGTATGGGTGTACAGTTTTTTTGTGTGGACACAGGACAGAAGAGAACACAGTGCAGCATAAAACCCTGGAATGTTAACCATTTACACATAAACTTCTCTCACTTTACCTCTTCTCTGGACACCAGCTGAAGAAGCTCACTGGTGTTACATTGCTAGTAGCTTTTTAAATGCATTTTTCCAGGTTTTCTGCAACTAGAATCAGCCTTATTTCTGAAGGCTGAAGGAAAAATGAAGTTGTCTCAAATTACACGTTGTGTCTCTCTGAATAACTGTGGTTCCAGAAGTTGGACAATAATCCCCTGATTATGCTTCTAAACTCTTGCTTAATTACTGGGGATTTTCTGCCAGCTACCCATCCACTTGCAGTCCCTTAGGCACAATCAAAACATGTTTGCTCTAGGGAAAAGGAAACATTTCAGTGCAATCAAGTGCATCTGGTGTAACTAATCTGGTTAATCACGGCAATGTGAGGGACATAGAATATGCACTATAAACATGAAAAAGGAACAGTCTTCAACATGCTTTTCAAACTGCACAATAATTTCTCTTAATTATTAATTATAACGTAAAATGATTAAATGCGTTTGTTTTAGCAAGGCTTAGTATTTCTGTCACCTTTAAATTTCGAGAACTGACTCAGGAATGCGAAAGAAAGCTAAATTTATAGAACTCTCACATACATTAATCAGCTGCTTAAGAGAAAAACAAGCCCATCATCCACATTCCTACTGAGACTCGAGGGCAGTAAATACATTTTCCTGACTATTTTGGTGTCCAGCCTGGGAAGACATTCCATTCTTCTGTTCCAACAGATCCTGAAAGCATCTCCTTTTTATGTGACTGTCCTGGTTTCATTTGAAACAATGCTTAATTTAAAACTAGTCAGAACATGATCACTGTGATTTCAAGAATTCAATGTGAATGAGTTAAGAAATATCAGCAATCTTCTGTTTGGCGTTCAGTCCAGTAGCATGAAGCATATTTGTTGCTGCAGAGACTTGGGTGGTTTTTTCTTTTTTCTTTTTTTCATTTTATTCATTTTTTAAACTTTTTATTTTTAACTTTGCCTGAAAACTAGACTAATAAAAACAGAATAGTAAAATACTCTGGAACAGTAAAATTTTGCTGTTCTTGACATCCATGAGCAAAACAGTAATATCCTGTGAAAATAACATAGTGCTTTAAAAAGGTGCAATATACCTGTATAGCTAAACTGGTTTGCCTAGTATAAAACTAACTATATACAAGCTTGAAAGCCTGGGAGTTCAAGATTTTCAAACTTTAAAATCCCATTAAAGAGATTGAAAAGACAGATTTATGGCAATCACTACAGCATAAGGAAGGTGCACCAGGAATCCTTCAAAATTCCAAAGGTTAAAGAAATTAAGTGCTGGGTTCAGATCAGAAGGGTTCATTAGAGTAACCACAATGGAGCACATGCAAGGGCAGGGAGGAAGGAAAACTTCACAAGAATCTCCTTTATGGCAATAAAGGGATGGGGTGGGGAAAGTCTTCGGCGAGTGAAGTTTTCCTTTTGTCATCATGAATTTTAATTCTGCATTATAGTTTGTATTTTTGGTCTTCTCATCATTATGAACTTCATATTGCTGGAGTCTTCTGGCTTTTAGTCCATTCCTTTCTGAGTGCAGCCTGTCAGGCCTCTCAGTACCTGTGAGACTGATGAGATTGGTGATACTGAGAGCTCTGCTGAGATGATGTGGAATAGCCCATTGTACTCTGGGACTGAGAAGATCCCTGAATGTTGCTTTGGTAACTCAGGCGTGAGCTGGAGTGCTGCAGGAAAAAAGAAGAAAGGGATCAGGGGAATGAAAACCAGGCTGTTAGGACTATGCAGCTCAGGAAGCTTTTAACCCTTCTGAAGGTCATTAAAACATAATTGTTGGAGAAGTTGACTAAAGAGTGCTACTATTTCGAGTCCCATAAAACAAGTAATCATTCTGATCTGCAATCAGCCCTAACACAGCACACAAAATACACAAAGTATTGGCAGACACATAGAAGTACAACAGGTACACACACATTTTCTGAAGGAAAAATACACAAGACATGAGAGCAGATTCCCTTTCAAAATTCAACTGTTTCATATTATTTCTGTCATTATTGTAATTGCTATTAATGCAAAATCAAACTGCTAAGGCCATAAATACCCTTCTCAGGATCCGTAATACTAAACGTTATAGAGAAACATTTTATTCTTTTCTGAGAAAAAGACAACCATGACCTTAGAATTACTCAATTTATCTAAATGAAAAATTGTCCAGTAAGATAAAATAATATCATTTTAGGTGAGTCTTTCAACCAGCTGTCTTATTTACTGGAAACATGGACAACTGCTTAAAGCTGGGCATGGGTATGTACAATAACCTAACATTCATTTTCCTAAATGTTTTTCTCTTCCCCTCCACAGTTTGGGATGTCAGCTCACTGGACCTCAACCTCAGTAAGAAAAATTCATGGATCATTTGCAACCTCCAGCCTGATGAATTTGCTCTTTCATTATCACATCCATTCCCTGTCCAGAATTAATAGCAAGCTGCCCAATAATGCAAGTTGCAAAATCACTTGGCATGAACAGTACTGCTCAGTGAATAGGAGACTCTCCAGCAAGGTAGACCCACCCCAATCCACACGAAAGGAGAGTCTACAACCCCCCCCCAAATTTGCAGTCAGCAAAGTTTTGTTTCCAGCCAAATTAAGCAAGGGTTCAGGCAGTCATTCAATAGAGTTTTGTTCACTGTCTAGTTGGTGGTTCTACTTGGCTATGTCCAAGGATCATCAACAAGCCTGTGGCCAACAGCAATCATCTAGGAAAATGTTAAGAGTATCACATTGTGATTAAATATCAGCATTATGATTCCAGAAAGGCCCTGCAGAAGTCTGAGTTCTCAACAGAAATCCCATGGAGACACTGGGTCTGTAAGAACACCACATCCTCCACAGACCAAGAATCTGCTCATTGAAGGCAGTCAATGGTCTCATCTAACCATTGGACCCCAACCAGGAAAGCTGTGAAAGCCTCCTAACAACTTTTCAGCTGGATGATGAAAGAGCAGGATCCTAAAGTTCAGGCAGTCTAAAACAGTTCTGTCCTTTGTTTCTGTACATGGCTTTATAATTTCAATTTTACATAAACTGTAAAACATACTAAATCCTAAAAACATCACATAACTTTTTCTGTGTTCTAACATAGGAATATGAAGGTTGCTTTCAATGTGAAGCACAGTGAGGCTACAGTGAGAGAGAGAGATAACAGTCCCATACTGGAGACCTCTGCATATCAATATAATACCAATATAACTAATATTTGTACCAAGTAACTTCACTTGTTTGTAAGGGTCAGTTTTGGAGGCAACAGCTCAGCACTCTGGCTTTGGAAGAGACGTGTCCCAGCAGCATATATGTTGTTAATAACCAGATTATTCTTGGCTTGCTTTGTTAGGTTGTTAACAGAGTGCCTAAAACCTGAAATTTTTCTCAAAATTCTGAAAGATTTTTCAACTTCTAATGGAGAAAAGAAGATTTTTTATAAATGGTATGATTTTTTAGGAGCTTATTCTGGATGAAAAGCATCAGGTCACCCTGCTAAGCAAAACACCCAAGGTCACAAAAGGAATGCTCAGTAAAATTCAACAAGGAATTTGCACTGTCATTTGTGGAAGCAACATATATTGAGGTTGGTGAACTACAAGAAAACTTCAATGGAGACTTCAGATCACAAGCTAAATGAAACTCAAAGCAAAGGCAATCTTCTTCCTACTCCTGCATAAGATATGCTGGAGAAAAATTAATGCCATAAGACTACAAGAATGCATTAACTTGCCCATGCTTATTTTTGTTCCACATAAGAGAATTTGTTTCTAACAAAGTCAGACTTGGACAAATTGCAGACATTCCTTTCTGGAACAGAAGACAGTCAGCTAGAATTTAAGGGCAGAAAGCCAAACACGAGTGTAAAAACGGATAATCAGACCATACAATTTAGTGAGTGATGTAAAGGAAACATACAGATCGTGATTTTGATGCTTGTGCTGTTCAAGTTTAGAAGGAAAGCATCATAGAGGGTAAGAAAAAAATCTATCTAGAAAAAAAATATTTAGACTCTTAGCAACTTGTAAGAGGGAAGTTTGCCAACAATTCAGAGAGCTGGATAAGAATTCTATAATGGATATCATCAAATGCAGCACACCAGCCCTCAAAGTACAGACCAAAACAGACCAGCCATAAATACTGTGTATTCAGACAGCTGCAGTGATCTGTCCAGGCCTCAAGCCTGTCTGGAACTTTTCAAAAAAGAAACCTAGTTGTCTTTACCCTTAAATTGCCCTCAGTGCCTTCATGATCATTTGTAATTAAAAGAGTCAAACAGAAATGGGAGAAAAATGTCTGGCACTGAGAAATCAATTGTCTGTGGAGAAGGTCTGGAGGGCTAAGTCAAGGCAACTCCAGAGTTTGGTGCTTTGAAATCTACTTACTTTAAAGCAGCCTGAAAAGACTGTTCTCCAAGGTGGGATTCTCTCAGAGTCTAGAAGCAGAGTCCCTAGTATCATTTAAAATCTATCTTTAATATCTACCTTTTTCTTATTCTGCTTTCAACTCATTACTGTTCCAGCAAGCATAAACTCAAAAGTACTGAAGATCCTGGTAAGTTCAATGCCTTCTATACTTAGTGTAAGTCACTTCTTCAGTGGAAAATATAATTCTAGTAAGCAAAGACAAATATGCAAACCCAAAAATAATTCAGTGATACTGCTTTTACTTATGAATGCTACTGTACTAGAAGACATGAAATCTATTCAATTTTGGTCCCATTAGAAACAATGCATGTCTTTGCATCTTACTTCAGCACGAATCATACAGATGAACCAAAACAACATTCCTATGTTAGCATGCATTTTTCCTTTAACATTAGAAGTAGACTTAGAAAGATATCAGAATAAACTACAGAACCACTTCATACATGTGATAATATGAGGTAAAATGACACAGGAATGAAATGGGAGAGCTTAGTTCTAACTTTACTTCTCCTTCTCAGGATCTTCTCAGATCTGCTCCTCATACAGGATTTAATATTGCCAAGACTCGAGTATCCTGAACTTGATGCAATGCAGCATTTACATCCACTGGCTTCAGTAAGATTACTCTCAAACATGAAGTTAAGCAAATATTTAAGTGCTTTCCTGGAATGGACTAGTCTTCAACACTTTACAGGGTGCAGTAGATACAACTCAAACTGGTATTTTATTGAAAATTACTAATCACAGAACAAAACCTTTTAACTTAAACCTGACATTTTAATATAATATATCACAGCATGCCTGTTCAGGTTACATAAAAAATTCATTGAAACATGATGTGTTCTTGCAGTGGGCAACGGGGGAAAATGATGTTTTGGCCTCGCAGCATCAGAAGTAGCAAAATTTCAAGAGGTACCTGATAATCTGAAGGCATGACAGGCCCGCCTGAGTTAGCGCCTGAAGGCCCTATGCGTGGTTTCTTGTTCGGAGGCACCTGGTTGAGGCTGGAGTCCTGGCTGTGCTGGAGCCCAGTGCCCGTGCCCCCTCCACCTGCGCCAGTGCCCCCGGCTGTCCCGTTGGTCTGGGTGCTGTTCTGCTGCTGTGGCTGCGGCTGCTGCGGTGCTGCCTGCGGCTGCTGCTGAGGTGCGGTTTGCTGCTGATGCTGATTCTGCTGCTGTTGATTCTAAGGGAAGAAGCAACACAACATGGTCACTTGCTCTAAGCTGGGTTTGTGAGCTTTATGGAGTTGCCAACCCTGGTGTCACCGGGAAGGAGGCAGGCCTGCCTGCTCCAGGAGAAAATACAGCAAGGCTGACTGTTGGGAGAAGTTTGTTCTCAGTACACTCTTGCACACCTTGTGGGGGTATCCCATTTGTGATTGGTTTTGTTCTTTAACGAAGAGAGCTGGACTTAAACTGGAAGGACAGTCTAGTGCCTCCTACAGCTAGCCAAGCGCTCAGAGAGGAGGATAGAAGGAACCATTTATAAAGCAGTAATCATCTAACAAACTAAATCAAAACTCCCAAAATTTCTCTAGTGCTCAGTGGCAGACATGGTGAACCACAGCAAATTATTCTAAGAGCTTCAACAGCCTTGTTCACTCAGAATCAAAACCTTTTTTAAACTTTCACATCATAACAACCCGAAGAAGCATTACTGCCAGAAAGGTAAGCAAATTGAGACCAGAGAAACTATATAATTTCTTCTAGGTTGCAAGGAAATTCTGTGCAAAACCAGAAACAGGTTTCATTACTGTTCTGGTCTCCCGTGCTTTTAAGCACCTTGCAAAGAGTGCTATAGTGGAAATAGGGTCCAGCATGGTGCACCAGGCATAGGGTCAGAAAATCTTACTAAAACAGCATAAAAGTGAAAATTAATCAGAGATAAGTAGTTGAAGACAAAAGAGGAGGAAACAGCTGGAGAAGAATTTGGTAAGGGCGGGAGAAAACTAGCAAAGTGGAGGGAAGCCAGATAATTAAGATGACACTGGGACCTAGTAGGAAGAGAGACAGAAAAAACCGCCACAAAAGGGAGAAACAAGGTTAAGAAGGAGAACACAAGAGCAAAAGATATTGTACTCTTCTGGCTTCAGAGGGCTACAGACTTGAAAGAGTATTAGGGAAGTGGAAGGAAGGTCAGAAAGTGCAACCCTGCCCTCCATGGTTAGACAGTTCTGGGAAAGACCACCCATTCATCTGCTTTTGAGCACCAGGGATGGCTTCTCCATCAGAGCACTAAAGCACATAAGAAAATTGCAAAGAAAAGCAATTTCACTCCAAATGTGAGATATGTCAATTGGTTATCATAGAAAAAACCTACAACTGACATAGCTTGAACTGAAAAGCCGTATTACCCTTCCCCCAGTATACTGTAGGGAACATTCCAGGATAGTATTTTTTTCCTAGAATATCTGCTTATATAAAAATTCAAGCATGGTAGTCTTTTATAAACCCTGACTTTATTAGTTTCCCAGAAATCATGACAACCAGTTGTCACTAGGAGAAAATTCTTGATGCCCCAATCATCAAGATGTACTTAATTACCTCAGATAAAGGACACAAAAGATCTGTATCTAAGTCATTCATCACAATGGTCTCCCAAGATACATTCAGATGAAATTTGCAATGATGTATTCATTTAAGATTACAAAGAAGCCTTGCGTCTTCAAGGACTTCAAGATGGCTTGCAATTCCATTTCACATTTAGCAAAACTAATAATGTGTCCTCCTGCCTGTAGTCCTCAAATCCCATCTCAGTCAGATTCTGCATCCTGTGAAATTTAGACTTCAATAATTTAAAAAGTTAATCAAACTAGCTTGTAAAAAAATCTATTAAAAAGCAATTAATCTTTTCATAATGGTTTGAGCTTCACTTACACAGAAACCAATAACTAAGGCAGTATTTGTGCTAGAATTCCGTAATTTGTGGTTTCATAGGGGTGTTTGGATGCAAGTTGAGGTGGTTGCTACTGCGTGAGCTGAAAAACTGCAATTTTGTTATGTGTAAAAAAATACTGCAGGAACACTTATAATTAAAGACAAGAGTTTGTGAGGTCCCAAGTTTTGCGCTTTGGATTTTAGCACAAAATTTACTTGATTAGCCTGAGCTTGCTCTTCTGTGGACCTGCTCTGTCAGACTCCAGCTGGGGTCTAGTTGCACCACGTTACTGCACAAAAATGGCTTACACCAGTAAAGACATTGTCCTCGGGTCAGTCTGGTTCATGGTGGTTCCTAAATGAATAAACTTATAAAAGACCTGCAGTTAACAACATATTGCCACCTGTTACCTCTCAGGCACAAATTACCAAAATCTACCTACAAAAAACCCAGCAGAAACTTGCCTAACAGAATTTGAATGAGAAGAGAATAGTTTCTCTTTGCGCTACAAACCCTCATTTTAGCTTTGCTGACTAATGATTATGCATTTTGAAGAATGGATGCTTATGTTAAATGTTATTCAATTCAGATTCAAGTTCCAAATAAACAAATACAGAGAACTTCTCCAGGTTTCCAAAGGACTATACAGATGTTCATGGTTTTAAAACAAAGCAGAAACAAAGCAGTATAAAAAAAAAAACAACTTTCATTTACAATAACATCATAAAGCAACAAAACATGGTACACATTTAACTTCCAGAATATCCTTAACCTCCACATTGTCTACACTGTGGGAACACATTCAATGAGTAATGAGCGACTTATATTACCCAAATGGTCTGAAAAAAGTTTAATTTGGAGTGTGCATAAATATGTGACTGCCAACAACAATCTGAAAGACCATTTATATATTGGTTGTTTTGAATATAAATATGCCATTGACATCACCCCCCAAAGCACTCCCAGGAAAAAGGTATTTACTTTTAAGTACACTGACTTGAAAGTAAAAAAAACCAGAGTAATCTTAATTCATAAGGTTTCTTCTTGTTTGTGAAGCTGCGAGAGTTGAAGCAGAACTTGTAACTACATTACAATCAAATCACTATCATGACATTCATTTTATTTTTGTTTAGGGGTCTGTTTCCTCTTTTTGAAAAAACTATCTGGACACAGCAATCACAGATGTTACCACTTGCTCTCAGTACAGAAGAACCTGCAACATCAGTTCTGAACACAAAATTTGCTCTCTGAAATGTAGTTTTAAACTCAGCTTGTTTGTCACATTATGCAGAAAAATGAAAACAGAAGATGCATGTAGTCCAATCATTTCTCTAAAAGGTAACAGTCCTTCTCACATAGTCCTCAGATAATTACAGTTCAAGACTGTTCTCTTCACATTTTGTTAGCTATACTGTTGGTGTCTCACTGTACACTGTTAAGTGAAAATAACATGCTGTTTTTTACACCATAGCACTACTGTCCAGCCTTCACAGCATGATGGGACAATCACTGTGGTCACGTAGCACAGCTGAGCTACACACACCAAGCAGATCAGATTATGTTGCAAACACACCAAAGTTTACTATGCACACAAACAAGTTCTCACCCATGCCTATGGGGCTATGAGAAAGAGAATATTCAGAGCAGATTGTCACTACTTGAACAGTTCACAGTCCTTACTACTCCTTTGTCTGAGGGCCTTTAAAACATGATCAGGAAACTGTGTGCAGATGGATGAAATGTTCTGATGTAGTGCCAGAAGCAGGCTGCCACTATTTATTTGAGACCCTGACAGCCATCTACATTCAAATGGCTGGATGTATGCCAGTCATACAATGAAAATGCCATTCTCTTCATGTGCTCACAATGTATTTTCATCATGCTGGAGGAAGTAGCAAGGTCCTCTTGGAATGACAGCAGCTGAAAGCAGGCTATTGCTGACACAACAGCCCATAAAGCTCATTTTCTCACAGGTTAGGGCAAACCACGCTGGTGATACCACCTGAGACACCCTAACGTCATCTGATACTTTTCATATTTCTGAGAAGCAGTTTTAAGAGAGCTGAGTGCTACCTTGGAAAAATATTTTTTGTTAACTCATCATGTTTCATTAGTTTTCATTTGGTAGCACCATGATGCTTTCTTATTGCATATTTAAAAGAGGGGGTTTTTTAAAGAAAAAATGATTTTATTATACCTTATCCCCTTTCTCTTCAGGTTCATCTTCATTGAGGAATTCTCTTTTAGGATATGGAATCTGACAGCCAGCAAACACACTGAAACACAGTAAACAGTAAACACTCCACAAATATGTACATATGGCATACATTTACTTAACACCATGTTAAAAACAAGTGCATATAATGTAACTTAATTTCTTGTATTTCATGTGTTCTGTTTCCAAAAGTGAGTGGCAGTGTGAGCACTCAAGATAGGTGTTGATCATAATGTCAGATCTCTTTGCTGTTGGCACTAGGCTGTCATTTGGAAATCACGGCATGGTTGAACATGCCTGAATGCCAGAACGACCACTTGTTGATCCAGATGATAAAATGAACAAATACAGTGTCAGAGGTTCCACAATACCCAGTTAGAACATGCATGGTTCACTGAATAAAGGGCCTTATCCAAAGAGTATTAGTGTCTTATGAGCCTGCCTTGGCTTACAGCAGGCTTAAATATATTTGCCAATCACAACTGCATAGTTACTTTCAATAAGCTTCCCAGGTCTTGTTGAGGGAAAAAATATAGTTTTCAAGTTCCACTCGCCAATGGAATTTGGAACATTCCTTAATGTTTATGGCAGACGCTTTATCACAATGTTATCCTGTAATCCATGAGGAGCTATAGCTCTACCTAGGATAGCATCAGATAAACACTAAACAGAAAATTACTGGTAGATCTTGCTCAGTATCAATTTCTTAGATTTCTGCACCAATCTTCAGAATACAATCAACATGACACGATTTTTAAAAGGGTGTAAACAAGAAAAAGAAATTTAAAAACCCCCAACTGATCTCAACTAGATTCCTTTTGCAGTCCAGTGACTGCTCCCTCCTTTTAGTGTTGCCTGATAGCTGAGGAAACAATGAAAGCAAAGGTGGAAGTCTCCCTGCATTCAGTTCCCACATAACATAATGCTATGCACCACCATGCTTCTAAAAACTGGGAAGAGAAACTGTAAGTCTGCAGTTGGAAATGAACATATAATTTGAACTTTTCATGACAATAAAAGACAGAGAGACAAATTCTGTACTCTCAAGCCTTTTGAACAAGGGATTTGTGGCATTTTAGGCAGCCATTTATCTCTTCACTCTTCTCTCACTACTGTTACCCTGTGCAAGAGGGCATAGGAAAGGGCTGTAGGTCAGAGAATTGTCCTAATCTTAGGGAGAGGCACAATCAAACCAGGCAATGGAAGATAGGGCTCTGTGAGGCTATGTAAGGCAGAACAGAAGAGGGCATAGATTAATTCTCTAAATACTGCAATAATATTGTCCCTCTAGCTTTGGTAGTATGCTCAGAATTACACCACTAGTGTGGTACTGGGTTATTTTCATGACTATTTAGTTCTGGCACCAGTAGATACAGATTACTAGTGTAGTTTCTGCTGAGCATGTCTGAGCTACTACTTCTCGTGGACACAGGCGGATATCTGAATGTTTCAGATGTCATGTAATTTCAGGGATGAGCATATAGCAGAAAGAAGATGTGCACAGACAAGGGAATACATACTCTGATGTAGGCAGAGGATCCTCTTGAAAGTAGGGGTCCTGCAAAGCCTGCTCTGAGGTAATTCTCTTTGTAGGGTCCATAGTAAGAAGCTTCTGAAGCTGTAAAGCATAACATTAAAAATAGCAAAAAGTTCATCAAACTACTATTTTTCAAACTATAACTTGTATGTCTTGGATTGTGGATTACTAAATTATTTCCGGCTTGTCCAGACAAGCCTAAGTTAGCATTGCTTGTTCAGTGAAGTTCCCGAGAACTACAATGCACATCCATCAAAGTACTGTGAAGTACAAAGGCTGTGAAGTATTTCTCATGTAAGAGAAGGTGTATCAGGCAATATTAATTGCTAAGGCTAAACCACTGTGCTAAAGTATCACTAAATTCAGCTATTACAGGTTCATAAAGCATAATTTATAAATAACGGCTTTTTGTTGTGGCACATGTATAGCTTTTATACTGTTCTGTACAGCTAACACAAAATGAAGTGTCAGAACAGACTGAACATAACCAGGACTCTTCATATCGCTTTAGGGACGGAAACAATAAATCTTCATTTCTTGCACTGGCAACATTCCAGAGACAGAGCATTCCAATACTCATGCAGCTCCTCAAACCTACTCTAATTGGTACTGAAATGAGAAAGAGGGGGAGCAGACCCTTCCTAGTAACCTTTCTTCCTTGCTAGGAGGAAAATAAGCCTAAATCTATTAGCTAGAATGCTTTTGACTGCAGAAGGCTATAAAAGAGGATTACAATACATTAGTAGTATAAACAGCAATTATAGGCATATCACACCATTTTAAAGAGTTACTTATTTATCACATTCTGATAAACTCACAGGAGGAAATTTGGGTGCTCAAATTACATTATACAGTATCCTGCTCTCATGCAATCCTCTCTTAATTCAAGCCAGTAGTAAAAATAAAATTCCTTCTGCAAAGGATATCTTAGCTTAAACTGTCTTTCGGTCCTCCAACAAAAACTGCCTGAATATTCAGCAAAAGAATGCAATTTTGGCATGGGTATTTGGGCCTTTTTCTTCCAATAAATTAAAAATCTGATATACAATTCTATATTCTATATATTTGCTACAATAAGCAGCCTCAGTAACAGTACCATCCTCCTCAAGAAAGATGATTCCTTGTATTTCCTTTCTCAATATTTATAGTTAATTCTACCTGGTAGATAAGGCCTATTAAATTCTTTGTACTTTTGCCACTTTCTTCCCACCTATCCTTATTCACATACTTTATGGGCCATGGACCTCAACAGACTGACAACACAACAAAGAGCTATTTGGGTTGCCTCTCCACCTATCAGTTCATTTGCAACCAGCTCCTGAAATTATTTCTGTTGCTTGCGTAGAGATACACCTCAAGATAGTCCTGCACTGCACACACCTGGAGAGCTTACCCGAGACATTTATTTACTGTATTTTTGTGTGGTCAGATAATTCTTAACCCTATGTTTCCCATGCATCTTAACAAATCGAACTTCTAATGTGCTGTTGGCTCTCTACACAGTGACCTCACACAATATACACTACAATTTGGGGACTCCAGTATCTTTACTTCAAATCACCATCTCTCCCTACATGCAAATTTTTTGTCAGTTATAGCAGCTTCTGACACATTTCTTCTCCCCTGTTCCTCCACAGTGACTGCAGGACAAATACGCATATTCTGTATAAGGCCACTCCTGGTCTTTGGCACCAGATGTCATCCTTGACAGAAGAGTAGAGGGCATCAGCTCTGTCCCCTGGACTCCTTCCTCAGACCTGCTTGCTGCAGTACTACTCAAGAGAAAGCTCATACAGTTTGCTGCCATATAAACACCATCGTCACAAACTGCCTCCAAACATGACCTGTATTCTTTGTCATTCAAAGATAAGACTAATGTACCACAGCAGAAGATCTAAAGATATCTTGGACCTTTTAATGATCTGCTCTTTCTGTCAGCATTCACCCTTCACCCCGAGGATACCATCAGTTTGCTCATTCCAAGTGACACCACACATAACATCACTCCAAGCGAGATAACCTGCCTATCAGTGATGCCACTGGGAACCAACTTTCTTTTAGAAGGTCTGGTTACGCGTAGCTTCTGGGAAAATGAACAAAAAATGTCTAGAGGCAATTTGTTTTCAGGGTAGCAGTTGCTAACACAACATAGCAAACCCATGAGACTAGACTTCATCAGAAGTCTTACTTTCAGCAGGTCTCAAAATTGCTCACTCTTGGGCTCCCCTGGCCTGACACGACAGCTATAAATACTATGCTAGTAACTCTTCCAGGACAGCAAGAATAGATGCCTCTTCCTGAATGGAAAACATTCTGCCCTTCATGTAGATATTATCATTCAATGTCAATCAGCAGAATGGCATAATATTCTCTTTCTCAAGAGTCACTTGCTATCCTGCACTAGTCTACTCGATGCCATCTGTTCTCCAAGCACCACATTTTCTGTACTCATTAGCACAAGGTCTTGATCAATGACTGTTACAAAGCAGATGCCTTCTGAGGTCACCTTGCAAGATGGAGGTTGTCTCAAAAAATAACTACCTTGGATATGAACAAGGAGTTTTAGGGAGTCTGCTTCAAAATACATGTACCTCCAAGCTCATTAGCAGACATATTTCTTATTTTGTGATATGGGAGAGCAATGCACACCTTTCCTTCAAGATCTGCTGTATTTTAGGATCTTTCACGAGATAAGGTAGGTACTGAGCCTCTTTGCTGTAGCATGGCTATGGCAATTTTTAGGTGCATGAACCTCCTCAGTACAGCAATGAGATATGAAGAACGTTGGTCATATTCCTGGGCATTCTTATGCAGATCTCTGGGAGACTGGCCTATTTGAGATCAGCCTCCATCTCTGTGATAACTACTCTTATTCATCCCTGATTATGAACTGTGAGAAAAATCTAACAGAAACTACCTTGATTAGCAATCTAAGCCTTCATGATGTTCAGAAAAAACAGCAAAATATGGTTAGTTTTTTGTTCTTTAGAGATCTGGTTAATATTTCCTCCTGGAAAAGCAGCCTACTCACCTAAGATAACTCTCAACTTTGTGTTCACAACCTTGATGAATTAGCCATGTATGCTGACAGCAACCCATTTGCTTCTCTGCCTTTCCACCAGGTTTTCTGGTGGCTTCCACCTTTTGTAGGAAAACATGGAAGTTCACGTGCGAATAATATCATCTTTTCAGTTAGACTTATCCTCCAGGTGATTCCAATGTGTACCGGGTAACTTGAGTTTTAAGAAGTTTTAATTCATTTTTATTCAAGTCTCACACTTCTTATAGGAATGTTTCCCTTCCACCCACTTGAAATTAACCTACTCTGTTTCCACAGCTATTTGTGTCATCATCTAGCAGCTACTAACAAGTCAAAGAGCAAATCTTTGTCAGGACCTAGAGAGATGACTGCTATGCTGAATCCCTAAGTGAAAACAGACCACTGGAACTCAAGCTGCACTAAGCCTTATTGCAGAGGCTCCCTGTTCACAGTACTAGCAAAGTCACTTTGAACTTAATTTCTAAATTTAGACAGCACTAATTCATCACAGAGGCATCCAGGAATGATCCACTGGCCTACAGTGGATGACTCAACTAGGTAACCAGCACATATATGTTTAGGGATTTTGTTTGGAATTGCACACAGTGGTAGACTATTGTCAGAGGGAAGAAAAAGAAAAACAAATTACTACAGAAAAAAAATTTCTCCTTTCCTCTTCCCTTTCTTCACAAAACTCTTTAGCTTTTGGGAGCTCTCTAGCTCTCTGGGACAACACAGAATCAAGACATATACTATACTCACTCTCCTAATTGCACAACAGACAAACTCTTGGATCTTCACTACCAGCCGTTTAAGCACACCTCAGCATAAATGTATATGAAGAAAACACATCTCAAAAAGGGCCAGTTAGTGGTAAATAGCTTTCTTTAATACTGGTGTTCATTAGAGTGAGATAGAAGAACAGACACAGATATTACCATTAGAAATGTATTTAATTCCTGTCATCACAGCAATTTTCAAGTTGCACCTACCAAAAGAAAAACTTTGCTGTCAGGCTTGACTTTGTGTTTCTCCATGTATTTTATGAGGCTACTATTGGCATATCTGAAAAATACAGTTAAAGAAAGACATGTCTGAAATAATGCTGCATTAAAAACATGTAACTCTATCAAAAACACTAACCAAATCACAAAAACATTTACCAGCCCTTAATAAGTAAGCTATAAAAAGAACTGCTATCAGAAGACGTGAGATATTTATCTAGCAGTTGCACACATAAAGTGTGCTTTTCACTAACAAGAGTGGTATCAACTGTGTAAAGATTATTTCCATGAAACATGCAACTTTTATAGTATATGGATAAACTGTTGATATGGACATATGACAGAGAGACATAACTTGAAGTTTATACCCTAGTTTTCTAAAGCAACTCTGCTGCAGAAAGTGTTCAGCCTTTTGTAAGAGCTCAACATCTAAGCTATTAAGTTGTTTCCAGTTACAATCTGGCAGAGCAGTTAAGGTTACCACTATGTCTTCCCAATCCCAACCTGCAGCAAATCATATAGTCCTTCCAGCTCCCAAGCTCAAAGATGTCTCAAATATTTATTACCTGTGCCTTGCCTTTTATTTACAGCTCCAGAGGTTATCTATAGGCATTTTCAAAAGAAAGAAGCTTCATGCACAGATAAGCTTCATGTCTTGTCTAAAAGAGAGTGTAATGAACCCATGGCAGAGCTGGAAACAGAATCCAAAACTTCTGAATCCATGTCCTCTGCCTTACAAGTCTGGCTCCTTACAAGTTCTGATCTATCACCACCACTTGACTAATTTAGCAAAAGCACCAGAAAACAGTAAAAGTGGAAAATTCTCAGACCTCAGACAGGCTTTGAACATGTTACCTTCCATAGAAATTTCTGTCCACTGTATTGCTGTCTCTGCATATCTGCTTGTCAAAAGTACCACTACTTCCCTATTCCTTCTCACACAAAATGAGTGAAGTCATCTTGAACATGGAACATAAGTGGGTTAAGCAAGCTCATTTGTCTGTGCCTGCCACAGATTAAATGACATTTATGACAACACCCTTCTAGAGAAATGGGGAGGCCACTGAGCTGATGTTTTTAACAAGCAGCTGTGGAAAAGAACACCATTCAAGCAAACCAGCTAGTTCAAACAGGACAGCTGTCACAATGTTAGAACCCAAATGCTCCAACATCCCCTCCCCAAAAAGTCAGAGCATAGGAGCTGATTTCTGCCTCTGCTACATTTAGTGAACTGCTGTTGCATTATCATCACTTACGTTGTTCTCCTAAAATCTTTCTGAAGAGTTGGATATTCTGGCATCTTTCTTATGTCTTCCCAGTCTTTATCTTTGGTAGGGAGGAAAAAAAAAGCATTTACAATTCTGAATGTGTAGGTTAAGTAATACATGAGAAGAAATAACTACAGCAGTTGTTTGACTTCCTGTTTGTTGGCCAGTGCTATTGTTCCATAATTGTCAGCATTTCCAAATCCATCAAATTGTCAGATTCTTTGTACCTATACAAACAACTACTCATTTCCTTTAGAAAAAACAAAACAAAACAAAAACAAAAAAACCAACTCAGTAGCGTTACATCTGATGCTTTAATGAAAATAAATTACCTGCAGGGAATCCCATTACACTGAAAATGCGGTCTAGCTGATCATGATGAAAAGGATTACTTGTTTTGATGTCCTCCTGGCGACAGTGAAATATAGGTTCTGAAGTCAACAGTTCAGCAAATATGCAGCCAATTGCCCAAATATCTATGAAAAAAGGAGGATAATTAATGCAAATTCACTGTACTCAATCTCTCTGGTTTTTGTTTCTGCACAATTTCTCAACCTTCACAGTAAAATTATATACAGTACTTTAAAAATAATGCATTAGTATAATACATTAAAAAAGGGTAAAATCTGGAGGGGTTTTTTTTCAACCAAAATTAGAGTTTCCAAATCCAAGTCATTCAGTGGCAGTCCAGCACCTCATGTATTCAACAGTTATGGCAGAAACCTACACAATATTTGCTGACGACATAGTGCTTAGAGGGCATTCAACTGACCATCGAAATCAAATTATAAATACTCCATAAAGATACATTGAAATAATAATTCTACCACATATTTCAGAACAATTTCAAACAGATAATTGATAACCAAATAAACACTAAGAAGTAAAACACTAATGACTCATATGTTTAACCAAATGGTGCAAGCCAGTCACAATGGAGAAACAAGATCCTAATTTTAATCAAGAGTAGAATAGTGATTACCAAACTTTAAAAAAAAGAACTACTACTTGACAATGGACTTCCACTGCAACAATACTTTAATTCCCTCATCTACATCTCACACACATAAAAGAAAACAAAAGCATAGTATTTAACAGTTGGACTTGATGATCTCAGAGATCTTTTCCAACCTTAATGATTCTGTGATTCTATATGCTGATGTTTTACTGAAACAACAAAAAACACTCCCCATATTTCATTAACATGCTTTTTTAGATTAAATCTATTGTGGACAAGAACATTAATTTACAAGAGAATAATTTTCTAGATTACATGTATTAGTTACTGCTAATCACCACCCATCTTAGCGTTCCGTATGACTCAAATGTTTTATTATGAATCTTAAAATGAAAGTGTGAATTTGTCAGTGAGAAGAACGTGGTTACTGTCCTAAAAAAGAAAAAAGTCTTTGCTACACCAACAAATATGTGTCTGGGATATAACTTTGGAAAAAGATGTTGAGATCAGATGACTAATGAGCATAGATTGCTGAATACAAGACTGTGGAGACTTATGTAGTCGTTGAGGTTAAATTAGATGATCCTGAGAAATTTTTTTTATTTTTTTCAAATTTAATGGCACAAATTAAAAAAAATAATGTATAGGTTTAAGAGATAAAAATTATTTAACTGGAGTTTGGTTTATTGGATTCAGACTAAAGAAAACACCAAGAGAAGTCTCTTGTTTGTTGCAACTAATCTGAGACTCAAAACCCTATTTGTTGTCAATGGTGGTCTTTAGCCTATGCTGCCTGAGACACAGGGTGTCCTGAAGAAAAAGCACTGCTCTCTTTATGCAGGCAAGGAAGAAATAAGCCATCACACTCTTTGCCAAAACAGGTCAGTTCCATTTCCATCATGTTACAGGTGTGGAGCTTGGGGTGTCCTAATATATAACCCTTTCTTCCTACTTCCTTTACAGGAAAGTCTGATGACATTTCACTCAGACTTTACAGTTCTGACAGGGTATAACTTGCTCTGTGCATTACATCACATTCTTGAGGTTTTATCTTCTTTTCATTTTTCTATTAGCCTTATCTGCATGAAAACAATATCTTTAGCTGTTGAGATTTTATCTGCTCAAGCAGCTAATGCAGCATATTAATCACAATTGCTGCCTCGGTAGTAGGCATAAATTATCTACTCCAGAATGAAAATTACTTGTTATTTGAAGAATAGAATCTTCATTTAACAGTATCTATTTGTTCATTTTCAGACTAAAGAGAAAATCCTCCTGGAAATGGCTTATCTGGAGGCGAAAGGAATTGCAGCTCTCTTGGTTTTGTTGGCTTTCTGCAGTGCTCACCGTCCATCACATAGTAAGGGAGAGGCTGGACCACTGCTCATTATTCTGTTCATTACTGCTCCACCCAGACTGACCTTTTCCTTTTAAAGAAAAAAAAGTAAAATCTAGTATTCTCATTGAAAGCAAAGCTGAACTGGGAAATCTCCCTGATGAGACAAAGCAAACTTCAAAACAGTTTCTCCTTTATCATCTGAACTGTGCAAGAGCAGAGCCACCATGGAAACACATTCCCACTTCCTGACCCAGCGATTATTACAGAGAGTACATTTTACACCCTTTGAGAATTCAGAAAGGCAAACATTGTACCAACTGGATGTTATATCTGACTAAACACTGGTAACTCCCAAGCTGGTGTTATAATTTTCTGTGGGATAGCATTATTGGGAAACCATTCTCACAGTTAATAATTTTCTGCCAAGTTTGGCAAATCCCCCTTTTTTTTAAAACATTCATAATTCACAGTAATAATTTACCACACATGCCATTTTTTCTAGCAGGAATGCCTCATTAAATTCTGCCAAGTTTACAAGCTTCATAAATGCAAGCAGTCTTAATAGGTATTTATCTCCTACATTGTTCACATTAGTCAAGCAAATAAAAACTTCAGCTCAAACTACGGAAAAAATTTCCTACCCAGTGCCATTTCACGTTTTCAACTTGTGGGCCCTAAAATAAAGTTTAATTATTATTACATGTATTCCAAATCTATTCCAAGTAAGAAGTACTACCCCTCAGAAGAGAGCATGGACAGGGCAAAACTTAAACCACACAAGTAGTATTTTTCAAGTACAGTGTATTATTAGTTTAATGCACAACATCTGCTTCTAGCACAAGAGGAACTTCTCATATTGTTGTATAACAATTTCATTATAAATAAAATTTCTTTTAAAAATGAAGTACCGAAATAAGTGGAAAAAATGATCCAATAATTGGTTCACTGCTCTGCCCTCTACTAATGACCAAGAGAGTGAGTTGTCTCATTGCTCCCAAGCCAAAGCTAAAACTACAGACAGTATCCATTTGTTATGTCCCAGACCCACTGAAAACTGGGACATATAGGTCCGACGAAGTTGCAGTGGGTACTAAGTGGTTTTCCATCTGATGTCTTGGGAGGATCCTAATAAATTTAGCAGAGTAACACAATCATTCCTGGAAGGATGGTTCTGTTTCCTTCAGTCTCTTCTACTATCATCAGACTTCAGGACTAATCTGTGGTAAAAGGTTTTCACTGCTTGTTGAGATGTGTTGTTTTGTCAGGGTTCACCCTCCCAAGACTTCCCACTTTCCCCAAGTTTACACTGAACCTAAGTGCAAGCCAGTTTTGCTCCCTGGGTCTGGGAAGAGGGGTGGAAGTGACTTCTAACCAAACAGCTTGCTCAGGTTCTATTCAGTCCTACTCTCCAGTGAAATATCTTTCCATTGTAACCATACTTTTCAAGTACTGTATAATTTTATAAAAAGAACAGAAATAGCCTTTTAAAGGTGGCCACTTGTGGTTAGGAAACAGACTTTCCATATATATACCTGCATGCTGAGATTATTAGAATATTTGTATGGCTGTCTATGTCCCAGTTTTAAAACCTGTAACTCTAATAGCTTTATAGGTCACCTGAAAAATCCTCCACGTCCTACTCTACGTTAGCACAGCAGCCAAGGAGCAAGTACAAGAGGACGGTGACATAGCTGTTTCAATGATAGCAATGATTAAGCAGACAAATGCTCATGTATTCTTTCACTTCTATGGCCCAATAATCTCATTTCTGTATTTGTTCCAGTATCTTGGAAACATTCTTTAAGAATACTATGACCCTTTAAGACAATAAGACAATTTACTGAGCAATAGCCCTGACTCTCAAAATGAAACATCTTTTCCCATGCATATTAGCCAAAATGTTTCACTGAACACAGGACAGAATTCAAGATTAAATGTTATGATTCTTAAATATATGCAAGAAAAGAAATATATAAACAAGCTCTTGGTCTCATATAATTCTTTAATAAAATTCTGTTAAAGAAAGTGAGTACACACTTGGAAAGCATCTATTTAGCTGAAATCAATCTCAGGAATTCATCATTAGTGAGGTTTGGTTTAGTAGCATCAGCACTCAAACAAACTGCCTTTTTTTGTTGTTTGTTTTGTTTTGAACACCAAGTCTAGACTCTAGGACACATCCAAACGCTGGTGAAGAAAGTGAAGAGCAGAGAGACAGTAGAATAGAGCTTCTCTATACCCACCAAGGGCTAATGCAATAACCAAGGTACCCAAAAGCTACTTAGCAAGGCTTTAGCCTAAACAAAGCTGTCCAGGTCACCTATAAGAGCGACAGCATTTACGTAAGATTCACCAAAACTTTCAAATCAAGGTAAGGGCAACAAATAAATCAAAAGACTGGAAATCCGAAAGGGGGCTGTGCAGGCAAATGTGTCTAATTTTTTCAAATAACCATCAACAGGTGTAATGAAAAGGTATAACCTCTGCAAAAACACATCTTGCATCTCTTCTGCTGAGCATGGCAGCAGATTCTAGACTTATCAGGAATCTTTAAACACAATGATCTAGGAGTGCAGAGATACTATAGAAAATGAGATTATTAATCTTTACACTGTTTTAAATACCTAGAAATCAGATTTAAGAAAATAATGTATCTTTAGTGAATAGAACAAATCTGTTACATACTTGTTGCTGTTACACACAGACACAAGGGAAAGATCATCTCATTTGTACAAAGGTCCCAAATTTTGTATGCTTCATTGAAACTTTAGTCAGCAAAACAGAAGGTCAAGGAAGAAGTGGTTACTAGCCTTCTAAATTTGACACCTTCCATGGAGAACTGAAAAGGGGGTCAAACATTTACATGTGACAGGCTTTTCAAGGGGAAGTAAAAAATGGTGTCAGTGGGCTAAGGGTCAGAAATTTTCTGTCACTCATTGGTAAGTTAGGTAATGTTTACTGATCTTTAATAAACAGCATCTCAACAGAACTTGACTGAAGAATAACTTACACTGTAAAGCCATAAAGATGACTGTACGGCAGGCAGAAACAACATCTCTCAGTAATCTGAGGGATGCTCACAACCAGCCAAACACATATCTAAGAACAATATTTTATTTCAAAAGCACATTATCTCCTGTGCCTTGATAAAGAACCAAGATAATTCCAAACTTTTAACT